CGTATATTCCGCACGGCGTGTTCTCAAGACATATTCTTTTTTAACATTTTCAACATGGTGGATAAATCCTTATATGCTCCCGGCAACACAATGAACGTCAACTTTGCCTCCTCATTACACTCACCCCTACTTTTAGTGGGAACAATGAGTCTGCGTCTTTGATGAACACAGGAATAAACGCAGATCATCCTCTGGCTGCAGCCTTTACCGGTACTTGCTTTTGATCAAAGTCAATGCGGAAAACCTGCACTCACACAGGTAGGTGGAGGTGAAGGGAATGAGCACTTTTACAGCCTTTTTGGCGAGGTGGGGGAACTCGGTCTCCACAGACAGCCACAAGTGGGCAAGTGTCACTTTACTCGTCTTTTTCTCGTTCTTTTGTGTCTCACGCTGCGCCTCCCCTGAAGCTCTCTGGCGCCCCCCAGGGGAGGCGCTCCTCACACTTTGAAAACCGCTGAGCTAGATAAAACGTTACAAAAACAGTATAATAATAATTCATAGTTATTCAGTTCATTAAACTTAAAATAATATTCAATTGGCTCACCAAGCCATAATTCATTACCATAAAAGAATGTGCCTAAATGGCTCTTACAATGTGTATTACATTTAGACACTGAATATGTTGTACCTTTTGTTTTTCACAGAGTGTCTGCCACAGAACTTAACGGTGAGATTTCTTTATTTTTGCTCAATATGTTTTCATTTTTATCTTACATTTGTTGCTCATGAATTCATTGTTTGAGATGGTTTGTTTTGTGATATTCTTTCAAAGTCATTCATTCCTTAAATCTTTCTTTTACAGTGCCCAGATATCAAGTACAACAGTAAGAGCTCTTCACTTTAAAGTCTTATTGTACTTCTTACATTACTGTGAGTGCGTTTAGAGATAAATTGTTATATTTCTGCTGTTTGACAGGTACGCACATCTGCAAAGGAGTTGACAGGTAGGAAGGAAGCTGTCATTATTTTCATCCAAAATTACAACAAGTCTTTGAATAACCTCAAATCTGACATTTAACTTCTTGTGTTTTCACAGCTCTGCCCTGCACTCTCACTTGAACTCATCTAAAGGTGTTTCCTGCAATTTCACCCTGGAGGCGTATGCATGTGCACAGGTGACCATTTTAAAGTCAGAGTGGAAATGCAAAGGTTGATTTCTGAGAGGGTTTTTTTGTATGCATCGTGCCGCCTGTTTGGATCAATTACAAGACAAGATCAGATTTAAACACAATTTGGAAATAGAAGTGTTAGAATAGAAACACAAGGAAATAAATAAGTACAGGTTCATGGAAAAAGGTTACAAATCAAACGGTATTACTTTACTTAGATAGTCTGCCTACAAATAGTTTTAGAGAGTATGTGGAACTGTTTACAACAAACTTTACTAATGCTAATGTATATAGCATATTCTTAAAATGTGTATTTGTACATTAATTTACACATTAACTTATGTATATCTACAGACTATAAAAAGAGCAAATAGACAAACAATTACAATACAAGCAGTATAAAAACAGTGCCCTTAATCACAGTTAGTCAAACTCTTGAATTAGCTAAAGTATAAGTAGAGTACTATGATAATACCCCAAATAACCAGCCCCCCCCTACCTCACCGACCTGATCCACCACCACACCCCTTCCCGCAGCCTTTGTTCATCAGAAGCGAACCTCCTCTCTATCCCCACACGAACCAAGCTCCGAAGCTGGGGGGACAGAGCCTTCTCCATCGCTGCCCCCACCCTCTGGGGGGACAGAGCCTTCTCCATCGCTGCCCCCACTCTCTGGGGGGACAAAGCCTTCTCCATCGCTGCCCCCACCCTCTGGGGGGACAGAGCCTTCTCCATTGCTGCCCCCANAAATGGCTTTTGGCTTTTATCCAGTCTAATCAAAGTCCTTGTTACCTCATCCCCTGCCCAAACACACACACACACCAGAGTCCTGCACGGGTCTGATTTTCAAGACCCGCTCAAAATCAGACCCGTGCAGGACTCTGGTGTGTGTGTGTGTTTGGGCAGGGGATGAGGTAACAAGGACTTTGATTAGACTGGATAAAAGCCAAAAGCCATTTTTTCGGCTGCGCCTGCTCCCATCATAATCCTCTTCATGCTCTTGGGTTACTAAACAGATGCATACTGCCAAATGTAACCACATTTGGCAGTATGCATCCTTTATTATTTTCCCTCCCTGCTTTCCTCCTCTTGGGCAATTAGAGGAACCAGAGCTAGCAAGCCAGAGGATAGCCATTATGTCGTGTTGTGTGTATACCCATGTGATGTGCTTTAGGGCAAAAAGGGAGAAACCATTTTCTCTTCCAACAGCAACAGGAATGGATCAAAGTAATTGGACAGTTTTGTTTACACCTGGGCAGTGCAAAGCTTTATGTGCTTATAAGTGTACGTGTATTTGTGTGTGTTTGTGTGCTTTCTATGCCCCCCAGACCAAAAACGCTTTGCATACAACAGCACACATCTTTTCAAACACACACACACACACACACACACACACACACACACACACACACACACACACACACACACACACACACACACACACACACACACACACAATCAGTAAAAAATGTCTCTACATTAGTGTTGAATAAAACATGGTAGTAAAAGTGTGTCAAAGTCTCAGGGCAGAGGGAGCAAGATGGAGGGTTTCTGCTCCAATATAATATCAGAAAGGAAGTGTGCATGTGCCTTCCTGTAAGGGCAAGGCAAAGATGTTACAGAGAGCAGTCTGGGTGTTTTGTTGCTTTGCTGCTCTGTTCTCATCTCTAGTATCTCACAGGCTTTTTAGTTAACTTCCTTTCGGCCTCATTCTCAGTCTGTCTGGCTGTCTGTGTTGCTTTTCCTCCCACTCATTACAATCTGCTGTATCTGCGCTCAAAAGCCTCTACTAGTCGCACACACAAGACACACCTAATTAACGTAGACCACAGTACACCCATCTCTTGCAAGGGGGAGGATAGCAAAATAAATGAGAGAACAAGGGTAATGGATGGGAGAGGAGTGGAGGAGGAAATTAGTAAATGGACAGAGGAGGTTATTACAGGGTGTGATCAAAAGAGGGACAGAAAAGAGGAGCAGGCATAACAGAAATGTATGAGCTGCTCCACTGATCAGCCGGCCGATACTGATCGCTCTGATTGTGGCAAATTGAATCCCTTCTGAACTTTTCCGCATTTTTTTGTGTCCGATGATAACATTCGCTGATGGAAAGATATTGAGCTTAATCCATTCTTTTATCTCTCCTATTACTGTAGTTACTTTTGGGGAAACTGGAACGACATATAAAATACACACACACACACACACACACACACACACACACACACACACACACACACACACACACACACACACACACACACACACACACACACTGACCACAGAGAAAGCTGTCGTTAATCTGTGTGGTTCTTCTATTGATTGATGTGATGAAGGTTGTTTTGCATCTAATTCACATTAGACAAACACCAACGGGGTATTTCTGTACTTGTGAGGACCCTCATAAACATAGCCCATTTCCTAACACCTTACCCTAACCTTAAAGGGTAACACCATTAATTTTGCACTCTAAGTCTATTACCATCTCTTTGGAAGCACTACTGTGAATGTAAAAAAAAACATTGTAATAAGTATTTTGTCGCCCAAGAGGGAGCTGCACAAAATCTGCAAAATTGCTTCTTCACTTGGACATTATTCAGAGCAGAAGACTACAAGTTTGAAAAATATAAAAAATAAACTGTTGGTGTGGGTTCAGAAATAAGTGAGCTCCAAATGTCAGATTTAGGATATCAGCTTGAAGTTGAGTCTACATTTCATCACTTGAGATGCATTGCTGGTACTATAGGAACTTGATTTCAACAAAAAGGAACAACGCATGTACAAAAATAAAATCTTTATCCCAGTTTCTGCTGCATCGAATTTAGACCCTTTTTAAAAATGTGTCCATCACAAGTGTTCATATGAGTGCAATGCTAAATGGGTGGAGTAATCTAAGCCCTAACCCATAAATACCAGCTGCCTAGCCCTGAATTAAACCTTAACCTAATTCTCACCTCTTAAACGTCTTAACTTCTTAGAGCCAGGTTTTTACCAAACGGCCATTTTGAAGGTCCCACCCAATTACTACATTTTTCAAAATGATCTCACTTCCAAGGTCTAACACTCAAATAAGTCAAGACAAAAAAATACATACAAGCAAACATACACACACAAAGACTTAAAAACACATGTTCAGACATCGTGTCTCCTCTCATGCAAGCCTTGATGCCCGTGAAATACATTTTCAGTTTAATAACATTGAATATTGTGCCTCCAGATCAATTTAATTGCAATCAAACACGCTCCCTCCTTCTCGTTCATGTGTTGGGAGGAGCCGGCGTGTTGTTGTGGAGAAGTAATTATTTGCTTGGCCAGTCTGAGCCTGCTTTGAGTCTCAAGGACGGACTCGCCTGCAGCTACAGTACCAACCAACACTGCGATCACAAAACGGAAATTGGCAGTGAGGGTGTGTAAAAGCGTGTGTGTGTTTTGTTTTTCTGTGTGTACGCTGAAGGGGCCGTGACTTGAATCACGGTGTGTCCTTGTGTTTTTTGTGTGTATGCATGCAGAATGTATAGTGTGGCTCATATCTTTCAGAGCTGTGTTGGTATGTGTGTGTGTGGGCATATACTCGCGTCGGGATGTGTGTATGCCTGTGAGCCTGTGTAGAGCAATGGCTCGTTCCTGCAGGTCTCCACCTTAGGGAATCACAGCCCCACCATAACGTATACACACACACACATACAAACACACACACACACACACACACACACACACACACACACACTCTTTTGTCACAATATAAAAACTGGGATGGGGAGCAGGAAATTGAGGTTGGAAAGGAGATTGGGGAGAAACTGGGAGCGTGTGGGTGGGGAGGAAGGAAGGGAAGAGAAGGTTTCAAAACAGCACAATGTGGGGAAGACAGAAAGAAGGAAGAGAGAGGAAATATAAAGAGCTAGAAAGATAGAGATTGGAAGGAGGCCAATTGAGGAAGAACATCTGTCATGAGAGATGAACTGATCATCACGGAAGGGCCAGACAGATAATGTTTCACTTTCTGGCCCAATAAAATATGTTTTTACGACGGCTTTCCCCAGTTGACTGCTACCTGTTTTTATATGGCTCTGTATTTGCATTTATGTGTGTGTGGGTGGTACAGCGTATTCAAAACATGCATGCTGCCATTTGTGTGACGTGTGCTGGTGTCCATGCATGTGTGAATGTCCATAAACAGGATGATTATTGAGTGTAAAGTGTGTGTGAAAAGGATTTCATGGTGTCATTTTCTTTGGTGTGTTTTTCTGAGTTTCTGTGTGTGTGGGTGCATCCAGTGTGGTGTGCAGCTGTAAAGCTGTGCCAGAGAGTTTTGAGTGATTGCCTTGGACTACCACAGCCAAGAGACCAATAACAGGAGGCGGCTCAAGAAGGCTCCTGCCAAGTGACCAATGATTAGATCCAACAGAAGGACACCAGAGCTGAATGGCCCGTCATTCCTCGGCTTCATTTCTCCTCAGAGCCCAATTCCAAGCCTCCCCGAGAAACTGGACGGCTTTTCTATCGTGAGTGTTTCAGAAATGCATTGGTTTACACCCTGGGTCTTTAGTTGTGTTCAGGGCTCCGTAGCAGGGAGAGCATGTGGTTGGAAAGCGTGCTATGATTGGAAATGATAAAGTGTGTTTAGTTCAATCAGTTAGGGTTTTTACAAGAAATTATCTAAACAGGATGTGGTAAATATTGCTCATGAAGCTCTGTGCTAACTCTTATGTTATTTCTCTGCCTGGGTTATAGTTGTCAAGCCTACTTGGTGTGTGTGTGTGTGTGTGTGTGTGTGTGTGTGTGTGTGTGTGTGTGTGTGTGTGTGTGTGTGTGTGTGCGTGTGTGTGTGTGTGTTTAGTGTCCAAAGGTGATCATACGAGAAAATGCTTTGTTCTTTGACTTGCAATAGGTTGGTAGTGTCAATCAGACAAGATGCAGAGATTTATTAAGACATTGTGCGTTTTTGCTTATGGCTTAGTCATCGAGAGATGTATATAAGAAGACTTCTGCTTAGTGTATGAGTAGATTCACCCCAAAACCCCAATCTTCCTGTTTTTATTGTGGCTCTCTTCATCTGTTCATGTACCAAAATACATACCTGATGTTGCACCATGTGTGTAATTCTCAGTAATAACACTCTAGACTTGTACTGTTCAGGCAGTAAGACCCTCGACCCCCTTAAGACCAGAAGGGTAGGCACAGGTGTGTGCTGTAGGTTTAAACATAGGGTAAACGGAGAGTAGAGGAAAATAACAATCTGGTGAATTCAGAGAAGTACATTACTAAAGCGGTAAAAGACAAAGTTTACGATATTATGATATCCACAACATAAAACGGTAACTTGTGCCATATGAGGATATCAATATTATATAGATACATACAGAAGGGGCTGGTAAAATAAGATGTTCTTCTTCTTGTAAAGTGTACATGTTTTGTTTTAAAATAACTGCCATGTTTGGAATAAACAAATAAACCAAAAGAAAACAAAAAAAGGAATTTCTCAGGCCTGACTCAGACCTTTTTTATTAAAGTCCCATCTAGGAATATTTTTTATCAAGGTTTTATTATTTAATGTAATCTAATCCCAATAACCCAACAACGGTTATGCACCATAAGAGACTTGAAGAACAAGAAATGCACAAAAAAGAAATCAAGTTTAAGGTTTAAATATCATGGGGTTACGGTTGTAGCGTCCTCTCTTTTTACAGATGTCAAGAAAGACTGCCAAATTGCATAGAATCTCAGAGCAGACCCTTGGAGAAATCTTATCTTCTTTTGCTTAAGATATTTCTTAATTTCTTTGATCCAATAAGAAAGAGTGAGAGTAATTATAAAACAATAGCTTTTTGTACGTCGACCGGCTGCTCCTCACAGCTCCAAACATCGGCGTAAATTCCCAAATATGCGTTATATTTTGTTAAATCTCATATTGGTAATATAAATGGATACTATCTTGCTTGAGAAAGTGACATAACTTCATAGCAGTTCATTTGACAGCTTATAAACACTTTCATTGGAAATAAAGGTTCAGAAAGCTGGCGACCCTCATTAAAATATATGCACTTACGCTCTAAATGGAAATGCTAACACAAAATATAGCATTGTGGAATCGCCCTAGATCAGGCAAAGAATAAGGTAAATAGACAGGAAGTCTGATCAACACCACTATGGCCCTTGGTTGTTGAACTTGGTGTGACTGCCTTTAATTGATCTGCTTTCCAGTAGCACATACTGAGTTGTCTTTTCTTGTGTATGTATAGAGGGACTTTAGCCCATTATAGTGCTAGAGGAGAGATTGGTTTTCTTTAGCATTCATTTTCTTCAGAACGTTATTTTCCAAAGCAAAATGTAATGTAAATAGTTCTGAAGCATGCATTTATCATGTTAAGCCCCAAACCTGTTTTTAAGGTCTCAGGCTCAAAAATGACATTCCCAGAAGAAATGACAGGGGTACATTTTACCCCTTTTTAAAAGGGGTAAATTAATCATATTTTTTCTCAAAGCAATGATAAACCTGTGAGTTGGATGTAGAACAGTCAGAATCAATATAGCATTTTTTTTATTTTAAAGTAAATTCAGATTGAACAAATTTTAAATTATAGCGTCCGTCCAAAAGAAAAACATTACTGAAAACCACCCTTGAATGATGGGATCGGAGACTAAAAGCTTTAGGAATCCAAACTATAACATATAATAAGTATACCCTGTATCAAGATTGAAGCAAAACAAGTGACATTTGACCTTTCTAGAGTGGTTTAGCAACAACAAAAAAACACCTCTGGGGTCATTTGGGTGGATTTGCCGTTTCTCTGGAACCCATTGGTCGATTTTGATGATTGACACCTCTTGTCAACCGTTAGAGCCAATAGAATCGAGGGGGAGATCCTAAATCCACATGCACGTTAAACATTGAGGAGTGAGAGTGATGCACACGCAGTTTGCCCAAACCGAAAGCTTTGTTACGCTCTGAAAACTGAAAACTAGGTTTATTAATGATGGATTATCAGTAATCATTTTAAAATGACACAGACACATTGGATTAACCTTCATCAGCATTTTTATCGTTTTAATGCCATTGAACACAACTTTTGATCAGAACAAAAGCAAAGGTAAGAGTATTTGCCGTTTGGCTCAGTAAAGCTACGTTTTGTGATGTCTGGGTTTGCTTCCCCCTTTTGATCGCACAGTGATGATGCTAATAGTTCTAGAATCTGTGGATTTCTACCGTGAGTTCTGTGCTAAGTGCGTTAGCCTTTTTTCGCTCAGGGCTAATTCAGAGTTTCGGCGTTAGACTTGTGTTTCGTTTAGCTAAAAATGGTTCATATCGTCAGTTAGCTGAGTTTCTTCCCGTTAAGTGGATATGACACATTCATAGTTTGTTAAATGTTAAGAAACCCCGCTGTTTCTTGCAAGATATTGCGTTTTGCCGGCGGGGGCATGGGGCTTAACAGGTTATTCTAAGGGTTTTGTCTTATTTGGTTTTTAAATACTACTCTGTACGTTTTAGTTCTAGTATTTTCTCAGACTGTATAGTTCCTTCTTTTTGTTTACCCAAAAAAAAAGTCCTTCTTAGAATTTGTGATGCTTAACCGTGTCTGCTGCTTCATACTTGCAGATTGGGAATAATGATTGCTAACGAAATGAAGAAGATGGGGTTTACTGCGTGTGTAAAAGAGGAAGCCTTTATAGAACAACAAGGTTAAATACACACACACCTTTTATAAATAGAAAATAAATAGAACATTTAAATATTGACTCCTCCCTGCATTAGAGTTATAATGTTTACAGATTGGTGATGATTTAACTGTATGGTTTATTCGGATGATTTTGTTAGTTTTATCATCTGTACCTGTTTCTTCTTTGTCTGTGCTATTGTAGCATAACTCTCATTAGGTGTGAGCACATAAGCTATGAAGCAGTTTTGTTGTTGTTTTGGTATGTTAAACTTAAATAGCTCAGTTTATCAGATAACAGTTTAGTTATGCAGGACTCAGGAGTCCCCAATGATGGACACACAGTGTGTGTGTGTATTGAGTTGTAGAATTTATCAGATAGAGCAGCAGGGTGGTCCTGCATATAGTTGTCAGTACATCCTGAAGAAAAGCCCATGTGAAATCTGGCATAAATAAGCAGTAAGAGTTTATTCTGCTGTATTCATCGGCTCCGTTCAGTCTTTAATTCATGGGTAAAATGAGTCAGGCCTAGCTGTTGGTCTACGGGGCCAATTTATGAGCAACACATCTTCCGTCTGTATAATTCACAAACTGACCTCGGCTGTTTGACTCATTGATTTTTGCTAGAGTGGGTCTCCTAAAGCATCCCTCCCCTCCTGTTGGTGGGACTTCGTCCAGGAACCACTGTGTTCCGGCTCTGTGGCTCGAGCACATGCTGTGGTCGTCACAGGGTTATTGGGAAGGTGAGGAAGGCTCTGGCTGGCTGGTCTGCTGGGTGCTCCGGGCTTCTGGATGTGGATGGCTCCCACAGGACCTGCTCCCACTGATCATTACTGTCTATGAATAGCTGCTGCATTGCAGATGGAGGGAGGAGAAGGTACACGGGAGGAAATTATGGAATGGGTAGAGAAGAGCTAATGGGTTGTGGAGAAATGGGGAATAAGGAGGTGTGTATTTATGTTTTTTGTGCACATGTGGGGAGAACAATTTCATTTTCAAGGATACTCAGGTCCCCCACTGTTTTCAATTTCCTGTTTTCAATAGCTGCTGAAAATAAAAATCAGCACATCAGAACACAAAAACAGCCAATTGTCGTCAGATTACTAAACAAAGTGTGTGTGTGCAAGTGAGAGACAGAGAGAAATGTTTTCGGTGAATGACTGAAAACAGCTAGACAGGGTGGAAAAGAAGATGATGAAGAGGATGTGTCCACCGCCTTATTATTGCTGAGCAGCCTCAGGAACCACCATGTTCACTTATTATGCGATGAACACATTCATAGGACACTGCCATTTTAATTCACTGAAGTCTGTATCCTACATTTAAACAAAGACTGAGATATTCCTTATTTCATCACCAACATTAGCTTTGACCTAAAACCAAATCGTATCCTAAAATGGAATGGCTAACGGGGATCTACTTCTGAGATTTAACTCCAACTTGACTTTGTAAACAAATTAATGTCCATATCTGAGTAATGCCGGGCTGCAAGTGGGGATTTTTGATTTTATCGATTCCTCTGATTCAGGCAATACAAAAAACGCACATTCAGACTCACACAGAAAAGATAAATATCACCCTTGTTATGAGAAACATGTTGCCAATACAGATTGACTGGTGGGTTCCACCGACTCTTGAGTTATTTGATCGATTGTCTGGCCTTTTTGATGATGATGTTGATGATGATGATGAAAAGTAATTACCATTTCGCTCTGCTACAAAATTCCTGTGGCATAAACTGGCAGAAATGTGACATTATTTTGCCCTTGTGGCAAATGTTTGAGGTTTGGTTTCTGCATGAAAATGCTTTGGCACTAAGGTTAAAACTCAGACCTCTCGCTCTCTCCTCTCTCTCTCTATCTCTCTCATAAATATATACTCTCGGCTTCATTCCACTCACTTCGTCCAGTCGCGGTTAACGGACGCGCGGTTGCTAGGAGCTTTAACGGCAGAGCGGCACGGGCTCTCCCCCGCCATTTCCTCGTGTCGAGCCCTGGAATGTCGAGTAGCGGCTCGGGCTCTTCCTCGCGGAAGGAGTTCGATGTGAAACAAATCCTCAGGATCCGATGGAGGTGGTTCGGTCACCCCTCGGTCCCTCCGCCTCAGTCCCCGCCGCTGGGAGACTACTTCGCCGGGAGGAGGGCGGGTGGCACCTCCGGAGATGGACCTTCAGTAAGCGGCTCTAGCACCTCCAATTCAGCCAGCGCGAACCCTAGCTCCGAGAGTCACAGCGGGCTGGTGGCCAGCGGCAGCGCCGGGTCTAACCTGTGTCACGGTGCCAACAGAAAGTTTGGTGATCCGCCCGGGAGTCGGGGCGGTCCGGGTGGAGCGGCAGCAGGAGCCACGGGGAGCTCCTGTCCCCGGTCCTTCAGCCAGCCAGAGTGCAGGAGCCCCGCTGCCGCGCTGTCGTGGGTCTCTCCGCCGCCTCATCGTCGCTCCCGTCCGGGTACAAGCATGGATCCCCCCGGAGAGGCTCCGGTGCTGCCGCTGGTACCCGAGCCACCCGCTCCTGTCAGCGTGGAGGAGGAGGCGGCGGCACTGGCAGCTTCGGGCACCGAGGAGAACAATAACCACCTGGAAACCGACTCCAGCTCCTGCAGGTAGGAGGGGGCTTGGATTGGTTAATATGTGTTAAATGTCTGTCTCGGGACATTGTAGCTAAAACTAAAGTTGTAGGGCAGAAAAAAAGTCAGTGATGTTCTCAATCTCAAAACCCAACTCCCTAAAGTTAGGGCAAGAACATCTCCACTGGTTGACTAAGCTTTTACAGGAAAGCAAATGGGTGTTTTATAATTTAATGAATCATTCTGCTTTATCTTCAGAAGTTGTAGATAACTGACATTAATTTGTCATCATTGCTGGAAGGTGCACTTTGTGGTTATGTTATGTGGATTAACTGAGAAAGAAGCTCGTCACAGAGTATAATGCAGCAGTCGAGGGCCATAGTACAGACAGACAGAGAGAGAAAAATGATGGCTGAGTATCCTACCTTTGGGACAGCATGTGGTCCACTGATTTCTCCCCTCAACCTCCTAATGAGGCTCCAAGAAAAAGCTCTTAGAAAACACAAACGCACACTCTTGTAAATATGGGATTTTCAGAGTCAAATTAACAATATGACTCCAGGGCTCCTCATATAGCTAGATACTACACTTGACATTTATATTGTTTTGTCTTCAGTGACTGATTATCTTAAGCTTAAAGCCTTCACAAACCGTCAGTGCTTTGCATGTTTCTGTGCACACGCGTGATGGTGTGTTATGCATTGGTGTGGCCATCCAGCTGTTGTGTTGTAAAAATGGCATTAAAATATTAGTTGCCATAGAGACAGCAAATCAAGCCAATTAGGGCATCAGAACTCCTTTCGAAGAAGATTTATGTTTTTTTTATGATGCAGCTGTAAATGTGATAGAGTAAAGGGAAATACAGACTGTGTGTGTGTGTGTGTGTGTTTTTACTATACTCGCATAATGATGCATCTGAGCCTCTTATTATACACTGTGTTCCCAAGACACGTCAGAAAATATAAATGATTCATACTGTAGGACATGCACACACTCTCACACTTTAGAACAGCTTTCTTTGGGAGCAAAACCTGATGTATTGTTTTAAATTGATTAATGTTTGAAGTGCTCACAATTTCACAGCATGTGTATGATTGTGAGACGGAAACAAATAAATGGAAAGAAAAATGTGTTTTAAAAAATGTCTTCTTCGTCTCTTCAGTGATGATGTCTGGCAGGGCGGAACATGTGTAACCTCTGCTTAATAGTAATGCATATTTACACCCCAGCCTCATTTACATAAGCAAAGACAAATGATGAAACTTGAATATAATTTGGTTATGTATTGTGCATACGTGCATGGAAGTAGCCATGTCCCTCCCTGCATGGTGGTTGCCATACCAACACAGCTATTTCTAATGTCTATAGCTAACATGGGCAGTTCTGTGCATCACATTTTTGGGTGATTTCTGTATGAATTCATCCCCTCCCTCTGAGAGCTCCTGTGTACAGCATGATATTCCAACAACGAGTGGCAGCATCCCAAGTGGGATCATGGAGAGGGACACACACTGAATCCCAGAGTGGCTGAAGGCTCGGCTCGACTCCACTGATCTCCTCCTCTCCTTTTTTACTTTTCACCCCACCCAGCTCCCCCCCTCCCCCTTTAATCCTGGTGTGCCTCCCTTACTCACTCTCTCTCCCCCTCTGTCCCGTGTTCATCTCTGCCCAGGTCCATTCATTTTCCCTCTCTTTTTTTATCCCTTTTTTAATGTGTTGGGAAACAAGAGTTTGTATGTGTGTCACGGAGCGGGTTATGTGTGTGTGTGTGTGTGTGTGTGTGTGTGTGTGTGTGTGTGTGTGTGTGTGTGTGTGTGTGTGTGTGTGTGTGTGTGTGTGTGTGTGTGTGTGATGACAGTGGTGTTAGTGTACTTGCCTGGTGCAGGGCTTTAAAAAAAATCGGGCTGCATGGTGTTGCCCCAGACCCTAGACATATTCTCTCTCTGTCAATGTTGAGTGCCTGCCAGGCTCAATTAAGGGGACTGGAAGGCAGCGTTCCCCCACTTCAAAGCCATCTCCTCTGGCAGTATTTAGCCACGTTCGTTTGTTACATACACACGTTCCGTTCGGCCCAGACACTCAAATACACACACACTCAAACACACACACACACCCTCAGTAGGACAGGAAAGCTAGCCAAAAAGCCTCCTTGGAGGGTTAGATTAGGATAGGGGAGAGAAGACTGAGGTAAAGATGGATGATAGGATGAGGTGGAATGAAGTGAGTGATGGATGAGATTATCTGAAGATATAAAAGTGAGGACGGGAGGCGGCTAGAGAGGAGCAGAGGACACAGGAAGATCACTCCTGCTATAGCACATCAGCAGCCAGCACACACACACACACACACACATCTAATTGTGTGCATGAATACACACAATGAATGCCACATACACCAGTGTTTACTAAGAACCTTTCTTATCAGTGAGAACATTTTTTAATTCAGCTAATTTCATTTTTAAGAGCTCAAAATGATTAATATATGTATTTTTCAACTGTTTGGACAAAATACTTTGATATCCGGTTTGTAACAATTTATAGGGCTGACTATTGAGAAATGCTTAATGCTCCACATTGTTTACCAACTAGTCACTAACTTTGTCTTTTTTACTTTTGGTGCCTGGCAGGTAGTGTACAGAAGGTTCATCTGACATTTTCTTGCATTAAAACTGAACTTAAAAGTATTGTTGCCAACTGTGAAATAAAAATATAATGATACTAAAATGCTTGACTTATTCTCATTCAATTAGGACTTTACTATTTAAAGATTATGACTTGCTTTCTTTTGAACATTATCTGAAATCTTGCTGAAATGCATTTGAGTTTTAAAAATCTTTGTATATTAGTTAGAATTACTGAATATTTCATTGAGGTTCAAAGGTGCCATTTGGACATTTAGTAAGGCTACTTCTGCAAACAAAAAGATATACATGAAGGGAAGAGTAAACATATCTGCATACATGTGTGTTGACTCAAAAGGATGAGTCGCCTAACTGCATTATATTTTATTTTGTTTTGAATTAAAACCTCCAACTTGAGTTTTATGTTTAATGTAAAAAAACAGAAAGAGGACACAATAGAGGCACTTTATTTCAGTTTTATAATCCTGTATTTTAATAGATTATGTTGTATTTATGGTGCACACAACTACATGTTCCACTGCCTTCCCGGAATCTAGGTCCTCATCTCTCTTTTTATTTCTGCGAAAAATATGCCTGTGTAAAATTGTAATTTAGGACAGTTTGATTTGCAACATCGCAACCACTCACACACATACTTCCACTTCCCTAAAAGCGTGTGAATTGACTTTAACTGTAGAGATGAAATGATACAATCCGTGGAGTATCGGCTCATTTCCTATCTCTTTGTGCTGTAGGGCCAGTCCTGCCACTTCTGCTGCGAAATTAAAAATGGAAATACAGCCCAGGCTCTCATAAATTAAATGCTGGTTTGGGAACAATGATGTCTTGTAATTCACAGGGTAGCTATACTTCGGTCCTGTACTTTGATGAAGACACATGCACACACCATTTCACACACTCAAACCCTATCAGCTGGCACAGGCAGAATAAGATATAGACCGCTCCGGGCTGCAACACTTCCACCAGTGAATAACGAATGTTGAAGCCATCCTGGCCCAAAACACTTCTTCATGTCTTGCTGATTGTAACGATACAAGGGAACTGTTTGTTATTAGGGAGCAATTACTGCACATCTATGGGCTCTGCTCCCTAAGCAATTTAATTGGCAGCTTTTCTTTTAAGTGAGCTAAATTTATCTGGCCATTAACTCCTGGTAATTAGACCATTATAGAGTTTTTTCATCTGCTTCTGGCGACAAACTGTTACCCTGTTGAGAATAGAGGAAGAGAGCAAATATATAGGAGGATGTGGCACAAGGAAAAGAATGGCACATGGATGACCCCCAGCAGCTGGTGTAGCTCCACGCATCCGTGTCTTTGTCATGAATAAATTAAAAAGTAGCACCAGGAACACATGCAATCAAAGCTTATGTCTCTTTCTGTTTGTCCGTGTGTTTGTGTAAATGTCCGTCTTTGACAGGACGTCCAACAGCAGCGCCACACTTTCCTCATGCGTGTCGATGGAGCCATGTGCATGTCCAGAGGATTGTATGTTCACGGCTCTGTCCCACGCCGATGTCACCTTCCGCAAAATGGAGGGCCACCTGAGGTCCCGGCAGCTGTGTGATGTCACACTGGTGGCTGGAGAAAGGCGGATACCTGCACACAGGTAAGAGCCAATAAAAATGAAGATGTTACACAAACATGCATATAAAAGACGTCACCTTACTACTTCTTTGATGGCACCCGGAGGATTGGTGACATCCACCTGGATCCATTTTCATCTGCTTCTTATATATAGACACATTGTCTTTTCTAGCATTTGGACTACCTATGTTGTAAATGTATTATCTTTTTAATTTACACACAAATCTATTGTATGTCTGTCCGTCCTGCAAGAGGGAGTTTTCTTCAGTTTTTTCCCCATTAACTGTGAGGTTTCTCTGGGAGTTTTCCATTGTCTGATGGAGGGTCCAACGACAGAGGGTGTCGTATTCTGTATAAACTATAATACCCCCCTCAGGCAAATGTAAAAATGTGTGGGCTGCAACTAATGGTTATTTCATTGTCGATTTAGAAGTATTTTGGTTTAATAGATCCTTTGTGCATATAAAAAAGATATTCCACTAAAAATGATTTAAAAAAAACTTCACCAGTGTAAAAAATAAGAAATAATACCTCCTGTAATATTTGCAGAATGAATGATTAAATGAAAGCTCTAATCATCATCATAAGTTCATGTAATCCACATTTGGGCCCAAAACTTGCTGGAGACTTTGCAAAGCATACATAATCTATTTAGATAATACAATTGTCACTTTTCAATTGAAATGCCATAAACGTGTTGGGTTTAGCTTCCTGGTTATAATTTGATGACGATGAATAGAGAAACAAAAATTGAATGAAAATGGAATGAAAATAATTGATAGTTGCTGCCCTAAAACTAACATGTACATTTAGCTTTTTGCTATGTACACACATGCAGAAGCACTGCAATTGATCTTCATCAGCACTTATAAACATGTGCCTGTACACACACATTGACACACACACACACACACACATGATGACACGTGCTGCACACACAGGATACTGTTTGAAAATAAGCCACACACACACACACACAGTAGCAACACAGTCACGCTCATCTCATAAAAGTCCCTTTTATTTTCATAGTCTCTCTGTAACACATAGTCAACTGAGCCCATGAATCATGCATCACACACACACACACACACACACCACACACACACACACACACACACACACACACACACACACACACACACACATGCTTGTCACCCGCCTCATAGTCACCACTATGCTGTTGCTCTCTGGGCATGTAGCCACAGGAGCAGCAGCAGCAGGGTCCATCTGCACAGAGATGAGACAGAAGAGCGGTCCTCCACCAGCAGAAAGACTTCTTTGCTCTCACTGCCTTCCTCCTCTGCCTTGTTTGATTTAGTCCTCCAGGCACAGATGGTGACAAACAAAAGACCCAGCAGTACGGGAATGCTAATGGTGTATGTGAAAGAGTGTGTTTGCATCTGAAGTTGTGTTTGTGTACGGGAATAGGGGTGGGAGTAAGATGTTTTAAAGTGGGTGTTTTGTTTGCAATTGATTTATTGTATGTGTAGGATAAAACGCTTCTATGGGAACAAAAAAGACACCCTCTATCTCTCCCTCTTCCTCTTTCTTACATGTACACACAAAAGCACCTACATGCTGAATAGGCCACTTGTGCTGTGTACAGCTGCAGATCTCTTGTGGAGTTTGTTTGTTTCTGCACTTTGAGTAAGACTCGTGCTTTATATGTTCTTTGAAATGTAGAGCTAAATTATACTGTTTGTCTCTAGGGCAGTGCCCTATACTAACACACTATCTTGCAAAGCTATTTTTGTACCCTCAAGTGGACACCTCTGTTGTGCTACCTCAACTGATTTCAGTTAAAAAGTTCAGAAACGTGTGTACTGTTGTTGTAGATCAATAGCTAGGCATTTGGGGCCCACTTTGTGCATACTGTGGTTCAGCTTTACTTTATTTGTCATATGTAGGTAAATGCAGGGTTGGCAGTCAAATTAAATATATTTGACGAGAGAACAGGGCCAAGTCACTAATAAGAGCACAAGTAAATGAGTCACTGAATGAATAAATGGATAAATAAAAGTTGTTAACCTTTTTATAAAATATAAATGTTTTGTCAGTTTTTAAAACAAAAATAAAAATATGTAAAAGAAACATTAGCGATAACATTTAGATGTTTGGCCGACATAATGTTAACCATTTTCACCAACTAAATTGAGCATTTTAGCAAGGGCCTTAAACCTCTACAGCATACAACACCCTGTATCCCTAGACTAAGAATTGGACAAGGAAAACCTCCTTCATAAAATCTTTAACGTTGAAAAATGGTAGAAACTTCAACATAGTGTTGGACGAACTAAAACTCTGGTCCAATTGATTACAATTCATTCTGAGGGGTGCATGGTGATCCAGCCGATAATCTTTTAGACATTTCACTTGGATATGGGATGACTTTAACCTGCTGGTGGCATAAGAACAAAAGTTTTTTAAGAAACATCCTCTGGGGAACAAAAATATCTTTGCCAAATGTTCAATCCGGACAGAAGTGGTGACAGACTGACAACCATGCTGCCATCTCCAGATCAATTCCATTTGTGTGCCTAAAAAGTGTATAAAATCATAATAGTTGAGTAAATCTCTCCTACCAGTCCTCCTATTGTTCCCATCTCTGTTTTTCCAACCAGTCTGCACCAAGCAGCACATCCACACTCAAACACAAACAGACGCAGATCAGTTTCCAGCATCCTTCCTTTCCTGAGTCCAACTCGTCTGTTTCCTGCTCTCTTCCCTCTGCCGTTTTGTCTTCTCTGTGCCTTTCCATTACTGAGTGACACACTGTCTGTCATGTCTCTATCCTCTGCAAGGTGCATTTGCGTTTAAATAACCCGGTACTGTATATAGCCTGTGTCGCACACCGCAAGTCAGACTTAGACCCACATGAAATATTAAGGAGTCAAAATACTGTGTGTGTGTGTGTGTGTGTGTGTGTGTGTGTGTGTGTGTGTGTGTGTGTGTGTGTGTGTGTGTGTGTGTGTCAGAGAAAGAGAGAGGAGAAACAGATACCTGACTGGAATACTGGCAGAGCAGATTTCTCCTGACGATAGTGTTACTGTCTTTTTTACATTATTCCTGTAAACAAACACACGCCACTCTTTTCTGCTTCAGGCTATCTGTCAGGGTCCCAGTGTCACACTCGGTAATGAGGTTATACACATTTCCATACACACGTTAAATGTGAACACATGGTTACATATCTTTCAATCGCAACTTTAATGTGAGCTTTCTAACTTATCACCCATATTTAGATTAGGAGGACATTAATAATACTTTACCCTGCAGTGATCTGGAGGTTTACTTTATGTGTCACTGCCATTTAGCATGTATTACACAGTCAACACCCCATACTCAAGGACAGAGCAAATGGTGAAAAATCCAGATAATAAAAACAAATATCTTTTCGTAGCCGTTTATTACCTTGATATTTAGGTGTGTGTGTGTGTATTAATTTAAACATCACAATATTGCCAAGGGGTAATGGATTGTTGTTGTGGTGGGGAATTCATGGACTGTCTTTCCCAAATGACATTATAATTCCTCTCTGTCCTTTCTCTGACTTGCTCTCCTGTATACCACTTATCTTCTCCTCTTAGACTTTCTACCCTCTTCATTCTACATTGACCTAACATTACCGTATTCCTCTCTCTTTCTCTCTCTCATCCATGAGCTCAGCTGCTGTGATTGACACATGCAAATTGATAATCTCCTCTGTGGCTGCAGGGATTGGCATGTCTTTTATATACCATAGAGCATACAGGGACTTGATCTGACTTGGGTAGTGTCTTATTTTAGCCTATATTGATTTGTTAAAGGACATTTTGAATTCTGTTTTAAAACGAGTGTAGAGTTTTAAAAGGACATTAGGGGAAGAAACAGGCTCTTCTGTTACTGTATATCGTTGTCAAACATCTGTTTATTTTCAGAGATGGTCTAATGTGGCACCATTTTCAAAGATACATAATCCTAAACAGATTAAGTTAGGCCACTGTCCCATACGTCACAAGTTATGAACATGTGTATTAGATACCAAAAACAAACTGCTGTTGGGGGAACACATCTGAGCTCTTTATCCTCAATATGCTCACTGTGTACAAACATCTGGAGATGCCCGAGGCCGGTGCCAGGCTGTTGTTAGCACAGTTTTCTTCTTCTACCTCGAATCACATTTCCTCCGAGAGAGGAGATTACAATGATAGTGCCAATTGGAGGGAATTCATTTATTTAGAAGAATCAAGTGATTTATTGTTAAATGCAGATTCATTTTTAATCCTGTGTGGAGCACCAATGTAAAGATTTTATCCCATCTATTGCAGCAACAATAACAGTTTATTAACTTACTGTTATTTAAATTACCTGTTTTTTCAATTACTTTTTTTGAGAGATAGAAAGCAGTAATGATAACGGGCACCATTCAACTAAACTTAAAAGTGTAATTTATTTCAGAAACACTTTTTGTTATATTCCATGGAATGCTCTTAACATCCCGATAGCAATGAATACGTTAAATGCTTTGACAATAAAAAAATAAAAAAATACATAAAACAATTACATCTGTGGAAGCCGTGGCACTGGGCTAAAATAACTGGGTGGCCTACCTGCCTGTCAGCCTTCCATCTGTGCACAAACTTATCTCGTGCCCTCATTGGTCATGTGCGCATTTGTGTGTCTTGTGTTTTCAACCACCTTTAACTAACAAACAAAAATGTAACTTCCTTTAACACCCTTTATGTTTTTTACTTTATAATTCGGACCTATGCAGTTAAAAGAAATAGCAGTCAGATAATGAAACAGAAAACATCTTTGATCACGTCCTAAACAGCTAGCTAGATCTCTGTTTAATCATCTGGAGAGAACTGCATTTGAATGATACTGATGCCTTTAATGTGACTTCCATGTGTTAACTAAACTACTACTATGATATGTTGGCAGAACGATAATTTGATGTGCTGTCAAGCTGTGTCGTTTCCATGCATCTCTGTTCTGAGTCTTCCCCTGTCAGTCCACCCTCTTCCTGTCAGTGAGGTCAGAGTCGTCAGTTCCTCCATCACAGCTGTCCGTCTCTTTGACTGATGCCTGACTCTCTCCACTCACAGGCTGGTCCTCTCATCCGTGTCCGACTACTTTGCCGCCATGTTCACCAGTGATGTGAGGGAGGCCAAGCAGGACGAGGTGAAGATGGAAGGAGTGGACCCTGATGCATTGTGGGCCCTGGTGCAGTATGCATACACAGGTATACAGGCTTACTGATCGCCTTTTTTGTGAAAAATATCAGTAGAGTAGTACTTTCAGGCAAACGGCACATACCATAAAGATTAAGGATATTATTTTTGAATCTTTTTAGAAAATTAAATAATTAATTTTTGATCTATTTTCAAAATAAGCATCTTGAGTGCTTCTGACAGGGTTGAAACTGGAGACCAACCAACATATTGTTCACATCAACCTTACAATAACTTTGATTTGGTCAAAGTAACTGAGTAATACAGACATTGAATGGAGCTCCATGTACTGTACTGTAGCATCCCATGTGCCATGCATTTGTTAGCCACAACTTGGGTCAGGATAATCCCATCGGTAACAGACTATACAAAACCACTCCAGCTAATGTTCTCTCCAACATAAGATGTGACATGTGGGAGAACCCTGGATAGTTTTTATCAACTGAAAGTAACACACTTATACAGAATACAGTTGGCAGTAAAACACTTTTCTCATTTTAGAAAGGAATAATTGGCCATTAATTGAACACTAATGGCCAATTCAAGTAAAAATACAATCTTATAGGCTATCAATGGTCATCTTTGGCCACCATCATGTTTTCAATGATAAATAAATGGACTTAGTATGTTCCTACTGCTATGTAACATTAAGGACTTTAATATCCAGTTGCTTGAGTTGATGGCAGTCTGACTCTTGATCTCAAAACCTTTTAAATAACAAAAACTTGGATATAAATGTATTTTTGTTGTCTGTAACTGTCTTACATGTCCTCGCTCTGTTTTCAGGCCGTCTGGAGTTGAGGGAGGACACCATTGAGTCCCTGCTGTCAGCCTCCTGCCTGCTGCAGCTGTCCTCTGTGGTTCAGGCCTGCTGTTCGTTCCTCATGAAGCAGCTCCATCCCTCCAACTGTCTGGGTATCCGCTCCTACGCCGACGCTCAGGGCTGCAACGACCTTCAGAGGGCCGCTCACTCCTACACCATGGTGGGTTTACGGCCAGGCTACATCCCCGGCGATTGTAGAGGCACCTTAAGAAAATGAATAAAAAGCGTGTTTTGGAAAATGTGGTTCTGTCCATGATGATACAGTTTTCCTCCATCAGACTTTGGTCATTTTCCAGTCTTTGTGTGACATTGAAAATGGGTTTCTCATTCACAACGCACAACATACCATTATCGCCACAATGGCAATCTTTTTAGCACAGGGTTGCTATGGTGACTGTGAAATAGCTCCTCCATTCACTTGATTATTATTTTTCTATCGTTGTTCTCTCCTGTCTTAACAAGCCTCTCCTTTACCCTGCCTGCCTCTGCGTGTCTGCATCTGTCAGTGTTACTCTCTTTCTTCCTTTTTTCTCTTGTGGTAATTATTTAGAGAGGTGACTTTATCTAGGTGTCTGCCTTCGTCTATAATTCACTCTCACACACACAGACTCATTAATACACAGCTCACGGGATTATTACTGCCATTATGAAAGAGCCTTACATAAAGTATACAGAGAAGGCTAGACCGTTTTTCTTCCCCCTTTTTTGATTCTCGTAGGTTCTTATTCACTCAAAATGATTTAATAGATGTATTAAAAAAACACAAATGAGAATAGGAAACTATACAGTACAATACCAACTACTGTCGTCACCTTCCTTATGTGAGGCTGACAAAAATACTTAGCATAATGTTGGTAAACTGGGGATATATTTGTACTCCCGGTGATCGTGGCTGCCTCATCTTAATTTTCTCGTTGATAAAGAACAACAAATACTTGTGGATTATTTGATCAGTTACATTTTCAGATTGTCAGAAAATGTAACTTCATTTTATTTATTTTTTTATTAATAATAATTTAAGACATCTTCTGGTTTCAGCTTCTTCATTGTGATGGTTATCTTCTGTGTTTATCGAGTTACTTTATCTATGTGTTTGACTATTTTAAACCAAACAATAAATTTGTGAAATTAGGAAATTAGGAGTCCATAATTAAAATGACTTTTGCAGCTCTACTCTCAATTTCTAAAGAATCATGACATCCTTTGCTCAACCAAGCCCTTTTTTCCGCAGCTTTCCACCCTTCTTCCTCTGACCTTTCTCAAGCCCTCATTTCCTTCCTATTTGCCTCTCTCTCTTCTTGCCCTTTGATCCCTTCTCCACTCATATCTTCCTTTTTTTTCTCCATCTCTCATCTCCTTTTTTCATCTGCATTTCATTATTAATTCATCCTTCCTATTTTAAAATGAATCTGACTCTTTACTTCTCTTCTCTCTACACCTTTTTTATCTCTCTGTTCACCAGGAAAACTTTTTAGAGGTGGTAGGAGGCCAGGAGTTCCTGTTGCTCCCATTGGACGAGATGGAGAGGTTGCTCACCTGTGAGGACTTAAATGTGCCAGACGAGGAAACCGTGGTAACCTCTTTGCTAACATGGGTTAGTCACGACACCACCACACGAGAGAGCCACCTTCCTTCTCTGTTGGCACACATCCGACTGCCGCTGCTGCAGCCACAGGTGAGAGCTTTGTTGAATATTCTGATGTTGTAATTGACCCACTTTAAGCAGATATAACCAATAATGATATAATAACAATGTGACAAACGACAGCGCAAATCAATGTGAAAGGGTTCGCTATAATATCGTTATATATAATCTGTAACTGCTGGCTGTTTAGATAAGTTTGCCATATCAACTTGAAGGTGGATGAAGATGTGTCATTTGTAAATGTCAACTAGTTCCCCTTGTCACCAAGAAGCAAACTGATTATTGCAGGTTTAATAACCACGCGACATGACATGCTGTTGAACTTAAAACCAAGTCAACAATAGCTACAAATGATAGCAGAAACACTGCAATATGTATGTCCTGTCATGGCCAATAAGCAATCTGTTCCAAAGCTTAGTATCAGCACCAATTGGTGTATCGCTTAGTGAGACTACCAATAATAATAGTAATGTTGTAGTCTTCCCCAATCTGCTGCTCTTTTCCCATAGCTCTCTGCTTCCCACTTGTATTCTATACTCCTGACTCCATTTTGTCTTTTTGTCTCAAGCCTCATTTGTCAATTAGAGGGACTATAATCATTATGCTAACTGTAGATCACAACCATAACTCTGTCACTTGAGCCGGTGTGTGTTTTGTTTGTGTATTTAAGTGTGTGCATGCATTCTTTTATCTCTCCTTTCTCCTCTGGTAATGTGGAGAGGGGAGGCAGAACCGCAGTTACATACACAAAAACACACACACCCACACACATGCATGTGTTTTGGACCTTAATTAAGTGGGATGCCTCTCTTAACTGCAGCTAAATTATTTGTTCTCTTGACCTCATTCATGACTAATTTCTCCTACTAAAGAAACCATAGAGATAAAACTCCCCCTGCGCCCTCCTCCCCTTCCCTCCTCTGTGTGTGCGGCCATACATCTTCCAGGTTTGCACTTGTTGGGTATACAGTATGAACATCTCAGATATACGACTTTGCCCTGGTCAGCTGGAATCACAAGCAGCTGTAACATGTAATCAGGCGAGAAGACGGATGGCGCCGGTGGAGAGGTAGAGCAGTAAAGTAGCACCAGAGCAGAGAGCAAAAGCAAGACAGACAAAGAGCTGAGGGAGGATTCAGCCTTTAACAGTATATCCCCCACCAGCACTACCATGCTAAATTGATAAATGAATTAACATTCAGCAACCTAATGATCAGCAACAAACAAATATAGCGACGTATAAACCTCACACAGACAGTTGATCAATATTCATCAACCAATTAGTCAGCTCTCTATCTCGGCCGCTGTGTGATTTCTCATTAAGAGGATGTCAATGTGCCAAATAAATACCCTTTAATCCCTTCTCTCCTTAACCACTGCAACACACTGACACACACACACACACACACACACACACACACACACACACACACACACACACACACACACACACACACATACTCTCTAATCTTCTCTGAGGAGCATCTGTCAGCCATAAATCAGACAGTGTGCACCGAACATATTGACAGGGCAGTAAGTGTTTGTGGGTGTCTTCATCAAGGAGACTACTACAACCTCTTTCTCGGTGAATCAGTTTCTCTTAAAAATAGAAGCAAATGGTTATAGTAACCATTTGAGAAACAGCCCAAACACCAAAAGGGTTAATACATATGTTGAAGTCTTTTTTGCCTATTTGACCGCAGCCTGAGTATTGTAAGGGAAATAAGAGAGTATTAAAGCATAACAAGAATCTACACACCCTTAGGGTGGGAGTATGGGAGTGTGTGTGTGTGTTTGTTTGTCATGTGGTCAAAGCCCATGCTGCAACGCAGAGGAATACTTTCTCGCTTCACACTGGGAGGTAAAGAGAGGAGAAGGTCGCATGCCTGCAGGATTCAGTCTTATCTCGCCCTCCACATTCAGGCCTTCACAGCGTGATGGAGAAATAGCACAGGAGAGGACAAACACGTTTTTCTATCTCCGTCCTTCTTATACACACACACACACACACACACGCACACGCACACGCACACACATGAGAGTCGAAATAGGGTTCACCCTAATTTGTGCCTCAGTGATTGTGTGCAATGGAAGCGAGGATTCACCCTGCCGTGTAAGCTGCTTAACCATTTACCATGCTTGCTTTACTCTCTCCATGTCTCGCTGAGAAAATTGATTTTTTATTCAGTGACCAAATTTAATTATTTGCACTATTTATTTATTTGTAGTGGTAAAAGCATAGAAAAAAAGAGTGTGTAAAGCAACCTTCAGAGGATATAGTGCAGGTTCCTTCAGCTAAATCTTAAAAACAGATTGATTATATTCTGGTCAACAAACGATATTCTGTGTAATTATTAAGATAAGATTATAAGATTATCATGTGATTATTGGTTAAGTTGTCATTTTAAATTTCAACAAAATATCAAAGGTCTGTTATTATACTTCTCTCATATTGAATCTCAGCAGGCATGTCTGAACATAGCCACTTCTGTTCAGCCAACACATTCGGGTATACACACTTCTAATGATGTTTAATAAAAAATCCGGCTCATCTTGAACCTCTACTGCTTTCCATCTGTCAACACACACATACGCAAACACACACACACACACACACACACACACACACACACACACACACACACACACACACACACACACACACACACACACACACACACACTCCTATCTAAATGTAAATCATGTGATTCTTGCCTGCAGGGAAAACTTGCTTCACACCCTGCCTCTCTCACAGGCAGATTTCCTGTGGATGTATTTTAAAGAACAGACTGGTGAATTGAAGTGCTNTCGACTCACAAACCTGTATAACTTCAGAAACTCCTACATACGCCACTTGGTATTCTTAACGACAACGTATCACAAGATTGCTCCTTTCCGACGAGAGATGGAAGTAGAGAGGTCTACGAGGTGTAAGGGAAGAAGTCGTGAGACGAGCCCCAACGACCTACGGACTCGCCGAGGGAGCCTAAGGGGGTAAGGACTCCCTGTAGACCGCTGCGGCCGAAATGTGCGGAGCAGTACGAGGACTCTTGACGAGGCCGGTCTCCTCATAAAACGTACATAATTCTATTTATAGTTATGTTGTACTTACCACGAAAGAAATTACTTCATACTTTTTGACTTTGGAACTTACCCGTTAATCCGCCTATCAGTTGTCACACTTATTTCATCAAAAAAACGTTTGTTTTTACATTGTTTCACGTCTCATAAGAACATTGAAAAAGTTTTACCCTAATCCCGATACAGCCTCAACTAAGTTTCCCTTCAAGTTAACTTTACTAAAATATAGGTAATGACGTCTGTGACCTTGGAATTACATAAGAACTTTTTGTGAGACATGAGAGACACAATTCTAAAGACATTGATCCCTCGCAGTGTGGGGTCATCATTTGTAGTTACCCTAAAGCAGGTACGGTGTAACTTTCTTGGTATTTATTTTAGTAAAACAATAGAGGGATTTTCTAGACTTTCAGTGTCATGTAGTCATTTAGACAAAGCTGTCATGAATAGTTATTGTCACAATGTGTTTTTCGATTTGTCAGACCAATCCAGTGTGCAAGACATACCTGTCGCCTGTTTTAGCTACCGTGTCTTTTTCGTTTCTCCAATTGTTGCCACTTGACGACAATATGAAACGTCCTATGACTCTAACTATATAGACGTGAGTGGAATAGTAAGACCCCGTACGGCACCGGTTATCTTACGGCAGCTGAGTTCTGACGACCGTCTTCTCTTCGGTACGTTTCGCCCGGATGATGTTTTAGCGGCGACCGGCCGAGTAGGCAGCTACGCGACAATAGAAACGTCCGAAGAGCGGGCTCTGTCAGCGACGTTCGTCTAATTTATTCTATTTGGAGCGGTGGATAGAAAAGCGTGGAGTAGCTATCAGACTCTAGTGACGGAAGAGACGGCTATCACCGATCTCGCCAAGTGTACCTCAGGCGCGAGATCGGTCTTCCGTACAGCCTCTCTCCTCGAGCCTGTACCTCCAATCGTTGACATTATGCTAACATTGGCTGAGCGTGGAGTAGCGGGTAGGCCGGGACAGGGTCACGACGAGCACACGAGGCACACCACACACACACACACCGACACACGACACGAGCGGACACGGGGGCGGGGGCGCGCGGGGAGGCTGGCGGCTTTTTTTTTAGCCGACCTCGCGGCTAGGTCGCCACAGCCGCCGTAGCGGGCCCGCCAGGCGGCGCGGCGGCCCTGGACTGAGGACGGGCGCCCCCGATCAACACAACACTCCCCCAAGTTACCGAGAGGGGGCGCCGCGGTCCGCCATACGACTGACCACCACGAGCGGGCCCTCCATACACGGCAATAGGGGTACCCGGTATCTGCAGAACACTCGAGCACGTCTGGTCACGCTTGGTATTTGTTTTTTACGTTAGCACGCCCACCTACACACTGACAGGCACACACACACGCAGCACTACTCTTGCGCCACACGACGCTCTTGATACACTTAAGTCCTGTGTAACTAGTAGCTGGAGCTTGCGTGAACGCGCCGGGCCCCGAAGCGAGAGGCAAACCGATGGAGAGACAGACACATACACCCACACACACACAGCGAACGTAGTACAGCACACTACTACCAAGCAGCAACCGGCACCGCCGACCACGAGCTGAGTGATTGTGAGGTCTGTCCAGAGCCGGCGGCAAGGCAGGGGATCCCGTTGCACAGCCTACAGGTCCCACGCACTGCAAGTACGAACCCCGCTGTGTAATTCTGCGCGCGTAGAAGACCACGACGAGACTCGATAGTGAATCGATGGAGAGTGCGATCATATACTGCGGCGGCCGCACCCGCGACAGGCTATCCGAGGGACACGCACGGCGGCTCTTGTGCTCCACCTGAAGTCAGCGCCGTGCTGACGTGCCCAGAAGAGAGTGAGAAGAATAGTGCCTTAACTGAAGGCGTTGTGCGCTCGCGCCCTGTCAGTCAAGAGAACCATTTACTTAAGGTCAAAAAATTCACGCCTCTACTTTCTTTATTCGAT